TATGAATCTGATGAATTCACAGTGGATGCAGCTCGATACGGCAATGTGTCTCATTTTGTGAATCACAGCGTAAGAAGACATACGTAAACTTTAGACGTGACTAACAATTCAACCTAGTACTAGTTTCCATAGCTAAAAAATAATTCTCTTTAAACTACATATCCTTTTAACATTTCCAAAATACGTATTTTATAATGAGGGCAGCTTCTGTTGAGTTATGGTATTATTGCTGTATTAGGAAAAGTAAACATTGAGGTGCCTACCGAGTATTAATAGCATGTATTTTGCAAGAGTCTTTACATATATTACTTCATTTAAACTTTCTAGTAACTTTGTACGGTAGGTATTATTTTCATATTACAATGAGCAGAGCAATTAAGAGGTAAAGTGTCCAAGAATTACACAGAACTGTGTCTTAATGGAAGTTAACACGACTAAAGGTAAATGTATTTTCTTAAAATGTAAACATGTTACAACTTTTTGTAAAATTTAAAGATTTGTAGAGTATGTAGGGCTATTTTTCTAAATTATAAATTAGTATTACCTTTTAATGTCTGAAAACACTTAGAATACAGCTGGAACTTAACTGCAGAATTCTGGACTCTATAAAAACTATTTCCAAAAATTAGGGAAGTTAATAATTTTGGGTTACCTACTAAGTACTAAGTGGATAAACATTAGGCTTGTTAGGTTGACATTATCTTCATTTTGTAGATAATAAAGATAGTGTGTCTCACAAAGTTATATAGCTGAACATATAAAGGATGGTAGACCATGTTAAACTTTTGATGGATTTCATAGTAAGAAATTAGTGTATGATTAGCAGAGACCTTCTGGTCCCTTGTTTGTTGATTAACATTGAAGAATTTTTTTCTTAATGATAAATTCGAGATAGTCTCAAAATAGAGATATTCTATCCAAAGACCATTACACAGTTTTGATTCCTTAGTATGACTCACTACATCTTTTTTCTTGCATATTCCATAAGTTACTGTCATATTCTCAAAACATCGAAGAGTTTGGATCAAAAGTTTAAGCAGTGAAACTCCATACAGTGTAACATTTGATTTCTGTAGTGCAGATTTGATTTTTTAAACACAGTTATTCTAGTTCTTTAAAGTATGTGCCTTACTGAAATAGTTACAGGTGAAATAATAATGTAATCTGGGATTTGCATTGAAATTCTCCAGGAAAAAAAGAAACTTGGGACTAGATGACTAAGATTGGCAAGCATGTTACTAATTGTTGAAGCTGCATAGTGGATACATAGGGATTTCTTATTTTCTCTATTTTATACTTGTCTGAAATTTTTATAAGGGAAAACAATCTTTTTAAATGTGCATGCCTCAAAGACCTCTAAGCAATAAGCAACTTAATTTCCAGTGGAACTTAAATCTCTTGGAAAGTAAACATTTTATATGGCATGTAGAAGGGCTTGTTCACACCGTTTTTACTTAAATGGGTTCTAATGTTCCTTTTTAGTGTGACCCAAATCTTCAGGTGTTCAATGTTTTCATTGATAACCTCGATACTCGTCTTCCCCGAATAGCATTGTTTTCCACGAGAACGATAAATGCTGGAGAAGAGCTGACTTTTGATTATCAAATGAAAGGTATGCTTTTCAAGTACCGTTTATTTGTTGTCAGTTTCAATATGAAGAATCAAATCTGACTAGGAAGAGACCTTAGATATCTGAACCAAACTAATACTAAAGATGAAAAGTTGAAGCTCTAAGTTGGTCATCCTAAGGTCCAAAGCTAATCCGACAGCTAATACTACAACCCAGGTCTGCCTGACCTTCAGCTGAGGAATGGTTCTACGTCGTGTTTTCTCAGAACTTCCATTTTGGAAACTGATTTATTTATTATAGAATCTTTTCTTAATACTGTACTACTTGTATTTTTTTTTTTTTTTTTTTTTAAACTGTGGGCTAAGCATGGTGGCTCCTGCCTATAATCCCACCGCGTTAGGCTTGAGCCCAGGAATTCAAGACCAGCCTGGGTAACATGGCGAAACCCTGTCTCTACAAAATATGAAAAAACTAGCTGGGTGTGGTAGCATGTGCCTGTAGTCCCAGCTACTCGGGAGACTGAGGTGGGAGGATGGCTTAAGACAGGGAGGTTGAAGCTACAGTTGAGACGTGAATACCACCACTGCACTCCAGCCTGGATGACAGAGACTCTGTCTGGAAAAAAAAAATCAATATAAGCCTACAGTTTTGAATTTTTACTAAGAGATGTATATTCAAAAGATAGAAAATATGATTTAAATCACATACAGATTTATTCTACTCCTACTTGAACCTGGCTTTTAAAAAGAATATTTAATTCTATTTGCTTTATTGTGACAATATAAATGTTTTGAATGATGGCCTTTACATATTGTCATTGCTTAACCTCTTACATACTGTGCTTTTATATACTGTGTGAAATGAGTGTGTATTAGATATTCCCAGTAAGTTTCATCATTTCAGAAATCCTTTCTCACAAATATGGGCTAATAACATAAACTTTACCTATTATTAACCCGCACCATCCTTTCAAGACAATTCATTATGATTTGAATCTGAATATTAACATTTATTTGTAAATATTTCAAAGGGAACTAACTACATTTCCTTGGGAGTTAACTTACTCTAAGGGTCTTGACCATGTAAGTACCCTCTAACACTGATAATAAAGCTAATATAATAGAAAATTTGAAATTTATTCTAAATTGTCTTAACTCTCTTTCTGTATTTCTTTTTCTGTGTCTTCAGGTTCTGGAGATATATCTTCAGATTCTATTGACCACAGCCCAGCCAAAAAGAGGGTCAGAACAGTATGTAAATGTGGAGCTGTGACTTGCAGAGGTTACCTCAACTGAACTTTTTCAGGAAATAGAGCTGATGATTATAATTTTTTCCCCAATGTTAACATTTTTAAAAATACATATTTGGGACTCTTATTATCAAGATTGTACCTATGTTAATTTACAATTCATGTTTCAAGACATTTGCCAAATGCCTCTGAAGAGAGGGTCACTGGGTCTCATAGATTGATTTGAAGTCTACATATCTATAGTGCTTAGAGACCAAACTAATGGAAGGCAGACTATTTACAGCTTAGTATATGTGTACTTAAGTCTATGTGAACAGAGAAATGCCTCCCGTAGTGTTTGAAAGTGTTAAGCTGATAATGTAATTAACAATTGCTGAGAGATCAAACATTCAGCTTGCCATAAACCTCAAATTTGGAGAAACAGTTAATTTGGGCAAATCTACCAGTTCTGTTTTTGCTACTCTGTTGTCATTCCTGTTTAATATTCACTGTACTTGTATTTGAGACAAATAGGTGATACTGAATTTTATACTGTTTTCTACTTTTTCATTAAAACATTGGCATCTCAATGATATAGAAATTTAAGGTATAAAATTAAATGTAAAAATTAATTTCAGCTTCATTTCATATTTTGAAGCAATCAAGACTGTTGTGATGAGTGTATGTCTGAACCTGTAATTCTTAAAAGACTTCTTAATCTTCTAGAAGAAAAATCTCTGAAGAGCTCTCTCTAGAAGTCCAGAATGGCTGGCCATTATGCTTCTTTGAAAAGACAGGATAATGGGACCAGGACGGTTTTTTGGAGTACCAAGCAAGGGGAATGGAGCACTTTAAGGGCGCCTCTTAGTAACATGAATTGGAAATTTGTGTCAAGTACCTCCGGTCTAAACAGTCTAAACAGTAAAACAAGCTGCCTGGAGAGCACCTGTACCTAATGATACTGTAATGTACATTAACATTACAGCCTCTCAATTTCAGGCAGGTGTAACAGTTCCTTTCCACCAGATTTAATTATTTTTATATTTCCAGCAGGTTCTTCTTAAAAAGTAATCTATATTTTTGAACTGATACTTGTTTTATACATGAATTTTTTTTAGATGTGATAAAGCTAAACTTGGCCGAAGTGTGTGCCTGAATTATTAGACCTTTTTATTAGTCAACCTACAAAGACTAAAATAGAATATATTAGTTTGTAAGGGGGTGGGAGGGTTCCAGCATAGTATCGAATCTCAATCAGGAAAAACTATGCTTTCATGTCTGATTCTGAGATTTCTCATCGTGTTGTCGAAAATGATAAATGCAGCAAATCTAGCTTTCACTATTCCTAATTTTACCTAAGCTCATTGCTCCAGGCTTTAATTACCTAAAATAAGCTTGGGTAAAATTGAACCAACTTCAAGAATGCAGCACTTCTTAATCTTTAGCTCTTTCTTGGGAGAAGCTAGACTTTATTCATTATATTGCTATGACAACTTCACTCTTTCATAATATATAGGATAAATTGTTTACATGTTTGGACCCTCAGAATCTGTTAACCAAAATTGCAGAATGGGGGGCCAGGCGTGCGTGGTGGCTCACACCTGTGATCCCTGCACTTTGGGAAGCTGAGGTAGGAGGATCACCTGAGGTCAGGAGTTCAAGACCAGCCTGGCCATCGTGGTGAAACCCTGTCTCTACTGAAAATACAAAAATTAGCTGGGCGTGGTGGCACACGCCTGTAGTCCCAACTACTCAGGAGGCTGAGGCAGGAGAATCACTTGAACCCAGGAGGCAGAGGTTGCAGTGAGCCAAGATCACACCACTGCACTCCAGCCTGGGTGACACAGTGAGACTCCGTCTCAAAAAAAAAAAAAAAAAAAAAAAATTTTTTTTTGTTTTTTTGCTTTGGTTTTTTTTTTTTTTTTTTTTTCCGCAGAATGTGTCAAGACAAAATACTTTAATGGCATTTGTGTTTTATGAAAAATCAGTCACATAGTGTTAGTGTCAGTGTTAAGAAAGGGTCACAGGTTTACAGGTTGCCCCCAGTGGCCATACTTTGAATTGTGATTCTCATGGGTTTAAAGATGTGATTTTTTAAAAATCAGTGTTTTACCATCTAGTTATTTGATCTTGTCCACTTTTTTGTGTTTAACAAAAGTGTAAAACTGGAAAGCAAAGAAAAAAGACTATTTTCAGTAAACATGTAGTTTTGTTTTGTCTTTATTAATAGAATGTAATGGGCCTTTGGGATCTTAAGTACTACTTATGTTACCTTTTTTATTCAGATGCTGAACTTAAGCAGTGAAATAATAGAAACTAAAGGATGTTATTAAGGGGTTTAACTATTTTAAGTCAACATTTAGCTATTCATCATTGGTTTCCTGAAGACGTCAGAATTTTTCAGTGTAAGACAACTATCAAAGGTAATCCAGTTTAAAACATAAATCCACTCTACATATTATATTGATACCATCATTTTCAGGACCTACATAAGAGTATTGTGATACATAATTAATAATCTCAGGGTTTTTTCCCCCATATCTAAAATGTAGACAATACTTGTTTCTCTTTTAGTTCATCAATTTCTCTTAGCAAAATAAATTAGGTTGGGCATTTAATGTTCTATTTACCATGGCTTAGCTTTGTTTCTGTTTTACAGTCATTTCCAGTAAGACTATAAAAGGGGCAGAGAAATACTGATGTATTCCTCACTGTGTGCTAACAAAATTAACCAAAGATTTATATTCAATTCCTTGAAATGTTACTTTCCTTTTAAGATAGCTTATCAGGATTTGATACTACACTTGATCTTGGCCAAAAGGCCAAGGAGTTATGGTTCATGCATTTGAGTATTAAAGGACAATTTGACATTTCGCTAGCATAATGTGGATGAATACTTCAGAAGTTTTTGAGCATTATCACTCACCAGGTGCGTAAACATACTACGGTAAGTACTGCCTGGAAATGCAAAGGAATTTTGGAACTCAGAGCTGATATTCGTTAACCAAGTCTTTTATGCCTTTTATATGTATTCATGTGCTTCTAATGAACCTGTCAGGTTGGTGTAAGGTAACAAACTTAGACTGGTAAGATAATGTCAACATGCTAAGATCACCCAGTGAACTTTTTAAAGTATTTAATCTTCAGCTTCAGGCAGTCTTTTAAAAAAATTAGTTTATACTCTTTAAACATTTAAGTCCTGGAACTCCTCTCCAAGATAAATGTGGCTGGCTGCTGAGTGTCTTCTGTGATATATTTTGGCATTTTGAAACTTCATGTTTCAGCTGGACATGGTAGCTCACACCTGTAATCCCAGCACTTCGGGAGGCTGAGGCGGGTGGATCACCAGAGGTCAGGAGTTCAAAACCAATCTGACCAATATGGTGAAACCCTGTCTCTACTGAAAATACAAAAATTAGCCAGGTGTGGTGGCACGCATCTGTAATCCCCGCTACTTGGGAGGCTGAGGCAGGAAAATCACTTGAACCTGGGAGGCTGAGGTTGCAGTGAGCTGATAGGGCCACTGCACTCCAGCCTGAGTGACAGAGCGAGACTCCATCTCAAAAAATGAAAACTTCATGTTTCCTCTTGTAATTTATGATTCTTGAAGTAAAAACCAAGTAGCTGCTACAATTAACCCTGCCCATGTTTATACTCTTTTGGAGAGACATCAGAACATAGCAGTTAAGAGCATGGTCTCTGAAGCCAAACTGCCTGTGTTTGAATTCTGCCTGTGCCTCATAGCTATGTGACCTAACCTCTGTGCCTTTGTCTCCTCATTTGTACATGGGGATTAGAAATGTATCTACCTCAAAGGGAGGTTGTGAAAATTAAAGGAGTTCATATATAGTCTGTAAAAAACTTACGAGCATGATCAGAGTGAGCACCAAATACGATTTCTGGTAATCACTCTGTTTCTTGATCACGTCTCTTGTAGTTGTCTTAGCCCTTAGCCCAATTCATTCAGCCAGCATTTATAATGGCAGACTCTCACATAAATGTAACAGTATATAATATTAATGTGATTATAAAATACCAGGAATATACTCAGAGGAATGTTTATAGGCATTTTTTGAACACCCACTTTGGATCACAAGGTACACTGTTAAAACTGTTTTAGTTATCAGCGAATATATACAAGTGTGTATGGTTACGTCGATACTCTGAGTCTTGTTACCCTAATTAGTCAGGTGGATCCAATACTTTTTGGTCTGATTGCCATGCAGCATCATGATAATCAAGTGTTTAACTGGCCTGCAAATTGTTTTAAGTGATGTCTCTGCTTTTGCTTCCATAATCTGTGAAATGTCAGAATAACAAAGTGTTCATGAATATTTGTTAAAACTTGTTAAAAATCCTCATGCGTAACATAAAGGCCTAACACATTGATGGATTTTGAGAATGAATAACACAGAGGTTTTTTTATTTATTTTTCTGGAGATGGGGGCTTGCTTTGTTGCCCAGGCTGGGCACAATCAGCTCACTGCAGTTTCAACCTCCTGGGCTCAATCTATGCTGCCACCTAAGCCTTTCAAATAGCTAGGACTGCAGGTGCTTACCACCATGCCTGGCTAACATTTTGTAGAGACAGGGTCTCCCTGTGTTGCCCAGGCTGGACTAAAAACCCTGAGCTCAAGCGATTGCCCTGAGCCTCCCAAAGTACTGGGATTGCAGGTATGAGTTACTGTGCCTGGCTGCCATTTAATTCTTGAGCATTTTCTTTTATATCCTAATTGTCCACTTCTAATTTTGCCACCATAGTCACATCAAGGTTAAGTGGTTTAATATCTTTGGGGATAAATAAGGTGCTGATTTTGTCTACAGCCATCAGTTTATCGTAATAGATCCAAGTTTGTCAATTTAAATCAAGCATGTTTATGATCAAAGATATGATCTATCATGCTGAATGTTCCATGTATACTTCAGGAGATATATTCTGCTGTTTTGGGGTGGAGTGTTCTATAAATGTCAATTTAATCCAGTCAGCTTATGATTTTCAGTTCTATATTCTTACTGATTAATGTATATATACTAGTTCTAAGGAGGGATGTTAATCCCTAACTGTAATTGTGCATTAGTTTGTCTCTTTTCAGCTGTTTTAGCTTCATAAATTTTTGGAGCTGTTAGGTGCATATACATTTAGGATTATTTTGTCTTCTTGGTGAACTAGACCTTTTATCATTAGGAAACTGTCTGTATAACGACTCCATCTTTAATCGTGTACATGGTTTTTTTTTTTCCATCCTTTTAACCTATCTATCACTTGAATTGACTTTCTTTATAGACAGCAGATCATCGGGTTATGTTGGTTTTCTTCCCCATGTCTCTTGTCATTGATGTGCTTAGACCATTTACATTTAGTATAATCATTGAGATGTATGGGTTTAGTTCTACCATTTTTTTTTTTTTTTTTTTTTTTTTTTTTTGAGATAGAGTTTTGCTCTTGTTGCCTAGCCTGGAGTGCAATGGCACAATCTCAGCTCACTGAACCACCACCTCCTGTGTTCAAGTGATTCTCCTGCCTGAGCCTCCTGAGAAGCTGAGATTACAGGCATGAGCCACTGTGCCTTGCGTTTTTTTTTTTCCCCCAACAGGGTCTTGCTCTGTCACCCAGTCGACTGGAGGTACAGTGGCACAGTCACGGTTCACTGCATCCTCAATCTCCTGGGCTCAAGTGATCCTCTCACCTCAGCCTCCAGAGTGGCCCACCATCACGCCTGGCTTTTTTTTTTTTTTTTTTTGTAAGTAGAGACACATCTCACTGTTGGCCAGGCTGGTCTCGAACTCCTGAGCTCAAGCGATTGCCCACCTCAAAGTGCTGGGATTACAGGTGTGAGCCACCACACCAAACCAGGTTATTTGAACATTTTTAAGTATAATATTTTCTCTATTGTAATATTGACTGTCATCTCTCTGCAGGTTTTTTAGTGGTTGCTCTAGGTTGAAGCACTTTGAATTCTTAGATATCTAAGAGTGAGCATTTTCTTTTTTTGACTGCTACACTCTCACCAGTTGCCAGCTTCTCATATAAATATTGTAAATCCTCTCGTTTAGGTAACTCAGCTTCTGGAGTTGAGGGAACTTCAAAATCAGAAGAGCTCTGGGAATCCACATTTGTGCTAAGATTTAGCAAACTTTTTTCCTCAGGTATATGTTTCTCACTGCTTAGAGTAATTGGTTCTCTAGTACTAGGAACTGTTGTTACATCTTGAACTCTGCTTTTCAAATCAGAACAAGTATCCTTTGGGCAAATTACATTTTGTTCCATTAGAGAGGAAGGAATATTCTCTTTGATTGTTGGTCTGTAGTCACCTTTGCCCAAGGAAGTAATATCCCCACTGTTTCTCTCTTGGGAGGATAACAAAACAGTATCAGATTGGCTGTCCCAGCCTTGACTTCCTTGTTCTGTTATGTGTGTTGACTGGGAAGAATTCTGGGAGGAGATGTGAGTTGATTCTCCATCAGAGTCACTGAAAAGCTTCGGTGACTGAGATCCCCCTGCCTCTATGGAGGAAGGGAAGTTTTCCAAGTTCTCATCTGTGATTTCATCATTTCTTTTAAAGAATACTTCCCACTGGGGTACATCCCCATCAGCCTTTTGCTGGTGAAGTACAGAGCCCAGATCTCCTTGCAGTGAAGCTGGGATTCCTAATTCTTCTTCACTTTCACTGTTGGATTCTTCACAATCTACAAAGTTTGTGAAATGAGAGCTCTGCGTACTCTCTGTTCTGCAGCATCCTGGAGTTTGTCTCAGTTTTTCGGGCTGCTTTTCTGATACTGCAGTCATTGAAAATACCTCAGGTTGAAAAGTTTCCTGGTATGGAAGTTTGTGCCTTAAAGGTATTGGCAGAGGATCATCAAAGAGATAGTCATCTTCCTCCTCTGTGGGACAAACAAAACAGGTTTATAGGAAACAAGGCAAAGGGAGCCAATTTGTACCTACACTTTTAATTCTTGGAATTGCAAGGAATAGGGAGGCCACTCTTCTTCAAAGGGAAAAGATATTCTTGGGATACACTGAATAATTTAATTACCATCCTTCAATTTTTTATAATGCCAGACTATCAGTGGACAATATAGAGCAGTCACTCTGCTCTATATATAAGCCTGGCTGATCATTACAATCATATGCAAAACTTTAAAAAATAAAAACCACACAGGTTTCTGTATCTCATTCCAGACCTACTGAATCCCTAAAAGACAGGACCAAATAATTTGATTTTTGTATTAAGTTCTACAGCTGATTTCTGTTCATCAGCCAGGTTTGCAAAGCCTGTGTGCTCTGCAAATAGTAGATGCTCAGTGGGTTGTGCCTTAAAGGTATTGGCAGAAGATCATCAAAGAGATAGTCATGGGAAAATTAAATGGCTTTTTATTAAGGTTTTTCTCTTTTATGAGCATCTTATTGACATGCTTTATGCACAAAGTTGCGACAGGTTAAATCAACTTTAAAGCAAAATACTGAATAATCATGTGTCAAGAACTTAAAATTCAAAATTAAGCATGCTGTGTCAACAAATGTTCTTAAAATGAAAAAAGCCTTACTTGGAAAAACAAATATTTTCTGTCCTCTAACGGTATCTAGCCTAGGAAGGAAATTAAATGCATCTGAAACTACTGTGTATGGCAACTTCGTGTTCTACTGCTGAATCTGGTTTTATAATAATCCACTTAAATGATGTGGCTAAACACTGCATTTTTAAGACACTAATATAATGGACCATAGAGACCATCATCCAGCTCCCACCTTCCCAGTGTGAAGCTAGGCCCAGAGAAAAGGGTGTGCCAATACATAGGACCCAACCTCATTCTTAAAGTCCAATGTTATGACTTGTAACTGATCTTAGGGCTTAAGGTCACTAAGGTATCTAATGACTATATTTGGAATCATCCTAGACTATAGGATATAGATTTTAAGCTAAAGATTAAATGTATGTTTTAGGTCCCTCACTACTATGCCAAAGTTGTTTTTTATGTTTCACACAATCACAGTTCAACCTTGACCTCCCAGGCTCAGGAGATCCACCCCCATGCCCAGCTAATTTTTTTTTAGAGACAGTGTTTCCCCTTGTTGCCCAGGCTGGTCTTGAACTCCTGCACTCACTGAAGAAATCCACCTCAGCCTCCCAAAGTGCTGGAATTAGAGGCATGAGCCACTTTGCCTGGCCCCAAATTACCTTTTTATGAAATATTTTTGTATGATCTCTAAGTTGAACTGTTCTGCATTCCAAATCAGTGACTGTGCCTGATCCCAAAAAACATTTATCAAAAACAAGTGTGGATTGGGTAGATGCATAAAAGGCACAAAAGATTAAAGGAAGAAAGGACTTTTGCTTCCAGGTAAGATAGAGTAACAGAGACTAGATTTAACCTCCCACTTGAAATAACTAAAAATCAGACTACCTCTCAAAATGGACATTGAGCAATTAAGGACAATGACATGTGAGAAACAAGACACAGATGAGTCCTTTGATTGCCTGACTCACTGCTTCGTAACAGATTCCATTCAGGGAGGGAACATCTGGTTAGAGCCCATGGATATCCCTGAATTGAGATGGAACTGGAACGTTGAAGAAATCAAGGTACCTGGAATTTACAGAGCAGAAGACCAGAGAGGAGAGTGCTGCACAGAAACTCTGAAAAGCTGCAGAGGAGTCCCTACCAAGTGTTAAGTGTACTGAGCAGCATGTGCTTGTCAGGAAACTACCAGAAGACAGGCAACGAATCACTCAAACAAAACGAAAGTGCCCAGAACTCACTGTGCCAGGAACAGTGCCTGGTCCTGGTCCCAACAGCCAGAGTGGAAAACCTCATGATCCATGGGCATTTGTAAAAGAACCAAGAAGAGCCTTGCCTCAGTAGTGGGGAAAATTAACTATACACTAAATGCTACTCTGGTCCTGCATAACAAAGGTAAAAGACATGAAAAGATCAAACTATAAACATGCTAACCACATGCCAGAACAAAGCTCAAGAATGATTTTAGAAATCCAAAATTATGCAGGACCTAAAAAGGTAAAATTCAGAATGTACGGCATTCAAAAACAAATTATCAGAAATTCAAGAAGCAGGAAAATACAATCAAAACTGACCGTGAAATTGACCATGGGAGTCAATTTTCATGATCTTGGATCAAACAGTAGTTTCTTAGATATGATACCAAAGCATAAGCAATTAAAAGAAAAAAAAAGGCAAATTCGACTTAAAATCTTTACACTTCAAGACACCATCAAGAAGGTGAAAAGACAAGTCTGAGAGAAAATATTTCCTAATCATATTAGATAAAGGACTGATACCAGACTATTTAACTGTTAAAACTCAATACGAAGGTCAATAATCCAGTTGAAATAGGGGCAAAAGATAGGAATAGACATTTCACCAAAAAAGTTACATAAATGGCCTATAAGCACATGAAAAAAAGCTCGACATTAGTCATTAGAGAAATGCAAATCAAAACTGCAGGGTACCACCGTACACACACTAGGACAGCTATACTCAAAAACAAGTCTTAGCTAGTATGTGAAGAAACTGGAATCTTTACATATTGCTGGAGGGAATGTAAAATGTATTCAGTTTGGAACTGTTTGGCAGTTCCTTGAAGTGTTAAAACAGATTGACATATGTTATGAACTGAATGTTTCCTGTCAAAAATCATATGTGGAAGCCCTAAAGCCAGTGTGGCTGTTACCTGGAGATGGACCTCTAAGGAAATCATTAAGGTTAAACCGTCATAAGGCTGGCGCTTTGATCTGATAAGATTAGTATCCTTAAAAGATACTTCAGCTCGCATGTATGCTCTCCCAGCCACCCCACGGGCATGCACTGCGAAAAGGCCATGTGAGCACAAAAGAGATGGCAGCCACCTGTAATCCAAGAGAAGAGGCCTCAGAATGAAACCTGCCTTGCCAACACCTTCATCTTCCAGCCTTCAAAACTGTGAGAAATACTACCTGTGGTTTTCTCTCATGGAGTTTCGCTCTTGTCACCCAGGCTGCAGTGCAGTGGTGTAATCTTGGCTCACTGTAACGTCTGCCTCCTGGGTTCAAGCAATTCTCCTGCCTGAGCCTCCCAAGTAGCCGGGATTATAGGCACTCAGCATCATGAACAGCTAATTTTTTTTTTTTTTTTGGAGACAGAGTCGTGCTCTGTTGCCCAGGCTGGAGTGCTGTGGCACAATCTCGGCTCACTGTAACCTCCACCTCCAGGGTTCAAGCGATTCTTCTGCCTCAGCCTCCTGAGTAGCTGGGACTACAGGTGCGTGCCACCATGCCTAAGTTTTGTAATTTTGGTAGAGATGGGGTTTCAACATAGTGGCCAGGCTGGTCTCAAATTCCTGACCTCATGATCTGCCCACCTCAGCCTCCCAAAGTGCTGGGATTATAGGCGTCTCGAGCCACTGCGCCTGGCCTAACTTATTTTTTTAATTATTTTTATTTTTATTTTTTATTTTTTTAAGCAGAGACAGGTTTTCACCATGTTGGCCAGGCTGGTCTTGAACTCGTGATCTCAGGTGATCCATCTGCCGTGGCCTCTCCAAGTGCTGGGATTATAGGCGTGAGCCACCATGTCTGGCCTCCTGCTTAAGCTACCTAGTATGTATTATTTTGTTAGGGCAGCCCAAGCAAACTATGACTCCAAAATTCTACCCCCTACAAGAAATAAAACCCGAGAGAAAGATACGTAAAGACTTGTACACAAATTTTCATAGCATTATTATTTAAAAAGGGGAAGCAACCCAGATGTCCATCAACTGGTGAGTGGATAAACAAAATGTCATATGCCTGTACAATTGAATACTGGTTGGCAATAAAAAGGTATGAAGTACTGATACATGCCACAGTATAGATGTACCTTGAAAACATGCTAAGTAAAAGCCAGGCACAAAATAGCACATGGTGTATGCTTTTTTTTTTTTTTTTTTTTTTTTTTTTTTGAGATGGAGTCTAGCTCTGTCAGCCACACTGGAGTGCAGTGGCGTGATCTCACTGCGAGGTCCGCCTCCTGGGTTCACACCATTCTGCCTCAGCCTCCTGAGTAGCTGGGACTACAGGCGCCTGCCACCACACCTGGCTAATTTTTTGTGTTTTTAGTAGAGACGGGGTTTCACCGTGTTACCCAGGATGGTTTCGATCTCTCTGACCTCATGATCCACCCTCCTCGGCCTCCCAAAGTGCTGCAATTACAGGCGTGAACCACTGTGCCCAGCCGTATGAGTTATCTTATATGAAATGTCCAGAAAACACAAATCTATAGAGACAAACTCTAGATTAGTGGTGGCCTAAGGCTGGGAATAGTAATGGGGAGTGACTGGAAACAGACAAAGTTTCTTTTTTGGGTAATAAAAATGTTCCAAAATTAGATAGTGGAGATGATTGTACAATTCCGTTATACTAACAGTCGTGGAATTGTTCACCTATACAGGATGAATTTATGGTATATTAGTTATACTTCAATAAAGCTTAAAAGATAATTTTGTATTGTGGAGTTTATAATAGATGGAGAATGTATGACGATAACAGCACAGACTGGGAGAAGAGGAATGGAAATATACTGCTGTAACATTCCTATGCCATACTTGGAATAATATATCATTTATCTTTTCACTCAGATATGTTAAAGATGTATACAGTCAGTCCTTTGTATCCACAGGTTCCACATCTGTGGATTTGACTGACCACAGATCAAACATATTTGGAAAAAAGCAAAAATTAAAATACAAAACACAAAAATTGATACAGTATAACTATTTACCAAGCATTTACACTGTATTTAAAGTATAAGTATTCTAGAGATGATTTCAAATATATGGGAGGATATGTGTAGGTTATATACAAATGTAACACCATTTAATATGACTTGAACATATGCAGATTTTGGTACTC